AACTCCTGACCTCAAGTAATCCAGCCACCTTAGCCTCCCAAAGTGCTGGGATTACAAGTGTGAGCCACTGTGACCAGCCTTTTGATTGCTTTTTTAAAAGGTTCACTTTGAACCATGTAGAGCAAAGCCATCAAAGAGACTGCTGAGATCATGTCAGAATGATTCAGAAGCCAACCTGAGGGAACCCCCAGAGGGCAAAGATGGGACAGTTTGAGCATCAAAATGATGGAAATATAAAAAAATATATAAAAATCCATGTGTTTATGACAGAATTCTAAAGACACAGACAACAAAACAAACAGACAAAATCCCTTGTTTATCACTTCCGAAATCATTAGGGCATCAAGTCATTGTTCTGAAAATGGTTTAAAAAGGAGATCTCATATCCACCCCTGCTTTCCTATTTACTTTATAGAGAATTACAATTCATAAATGCAGAAGGGTGCTATAAACGTTTTTAAAACCTGTAGTGTCTAATGAAATAGTGGAGCTAAGCAGCAACCGTTAATGAATGATAAAATCATCAGGTAAAATTGGTTCTTTCTAACAGAATCAGGCTGACAACACTTGATCCTACTGATCAGTCTCCATAGCACTAAAAGTGGAAGAGCTGAACATTAGTTATGCTCTTCCAATGTCATCTGATAGAAAGGAAACAGCACCACCTGTGAAGTATTCTTACCCACATCCTCTCCCCCAACAAAGCTGAACCAGAAACTCATCAAACATCCACATCTAACTATTAATACCAGGTTACAGGAAATATGGGAGACAGAGGAACATGCTAAACACCACTGCAAGGGTACAGATGAGCCAATGCCTGAATATAGGAAGTTCTACAAAACAAATTACCCATTTTTTTTTCAGTGTATAAATGTTATGAGAAAAAAGTAGGGAGGGGGAACTGTTAAAAGACTTGAGAGACCTGTAAACCAAATGCAGGCATGAATCTTGTATGGAACTTGATTTGAGCAAACTAAAAAAGTGACTTTTTAAAAATAATAGGCGAAAGTGAAACATACTCTTTATTACATGTTACTAATGAATTATTGGTAATTTTATTGAGTTGGTGGTACTGTGATTTTTAAAAGTTCTCATCTATTTAGAAGCACTTATTAATGGATTGATATGACGCCTGAGACTTTCTTTAAAAAATACTCCTTCAAAAGAAAAAAAGTGTGTGTATAGGGAAATAGGTGAAATCAGAATGGTAAAATGTAATAATTGTTGAAGCTTGGTGATAGGTTTGTGGGGGTTCTTCACACTTTCTACTTTGTTATATATGGAAAATTCACATAATAAAAACAGGTATGCTATTTGAGAGGCAGAATTTTGGCAGAAGGCCTGGTTTATAACCCAATTTGTATAACTTGGGGAGAGTCATTGCTACTCCCACCTTTTTTGCCTCTTTCCCTTCTTTTTTACTTTCCTTCTATTTCTTCAAAAACCATTTGCTGGGCCACATTTTCCCCAAGGGACTATCCTGCTACCACCAGCCTTCCAAGGTATAGGTATAGTTATTATTATTATTATTTAGCAGATGAGGAAATCAAAGCATAGAAGAACTAAGTTTCTCACTCACAAATTCAAATCTGCCTCTATCCAAAATCTGAGCTCTTTTGTTTTATTTTATGCTGGCTCCCAGGAGTATAGTCCTTTGATTTTATAGTTTTTAAGCTTTTTTATTTTTAATTTTGTTTATGGATAAATATTAAATAATGAATAAATAAAAATAGGTCAAGTGGAGTAGCATTTGTGTTTTTTGAATGTGAGAAAGATGCAAGGTATGGTTGTTATTGTAACAATTACAAAGAGGTCATCAAAGCCAAGCAGTGATAAAAGCCAAATGTGTAGCAACTTTCTTCATCTTCAGAAAAGAGAGTCTATAAATTGTAACTTTAAGCCATAAAGTAACATTTATTTATGCTTGTTCTTCAAAAGCATATATTTGATAATCTTTTCATTAGAAGTAGAAGCCTGAAAAAATGGCTAATTTCATTTTTCACATGTTTGTAAAATACTTTTAGAACTATCACAAGAAATTCCCTAAAAATGTCAAAACAAATGAACAAGGGAAACCCTGCCCGCCCCTTATGCCACTGTTTTCTTTACTTACTGAAAAAAATGACATTGGCTTTTGTAAAACCTGGGTGTGCTGGTGGGCATGTGCTGACATGTCGCTGTCGTCTGTCATGTGTCATGCTCTGGATGTCAGAACCAGACGTCAGTCAGGGAAGAGAGCGAGTAGGGAGCCAGCGCACCAAGCTCTTGCTGCAGGGTGTGTGAGGTTCACATCCTCTGCTTAGATTTAGCGTGACTTTCCAAAACACCCGAAGTGGGGTACTTCATGGCTGGTCCCACATAACAATTTATGCCCTAGAGCTGTCTGACTAGATCTTAGAAAATTATACTAATGGGTCTGATGTTTTTTCCTTCAAGAATCACGGCACTAAATAGAGTCAAGCTGAATAACGAAATTTTACTCACACTCAGGGCATGTCAGTGAGGGCATCAAAAATGGAAGAATAACAAATATGGCTGATATTTTAAGTTTTATAATATAACAGGCACTGCACTAAGTCTTGAATATTTAATCATGTTTAACTTTCAATGTCCCATTTTATAGCTGAGGTGGCTGAAGCACAGAGAGGTTATGTGAGTTGCCCAAGGTTGCACAGTTAATGAGTGGCAGAGCTGGGCTCTAAACCCAGGCCATCTGATCCCTGAGCCTTTGTTCTTCCAACCACTATGCAGTCTCCAAGGATCAGCAGAACAAAGTGAGCACCTGCCAATCCACAGCTGCCATGGTTTAGCCCTCTGTGGGCTTTCGGAGCACCTTAAAGCCCTTTGTTCTGTGTCAGAGCTGTTTTTCAGCTTTGCAGATGTCTGAAATCAAGCAGAAGAGATGGAGAGGTTGATAAAGCACACGTGGCAAATCTCTGGCTGAGTTGATATTAGAACACAGAGTCCCAGAGTGATTTACTGCCCAGGGGGAAAGCCAGT